CATTTATTTTGTATCATCAACACTCCGCACGTTGGAGTGGACTATTTAATTATTTTGTATTATGCCGAATATTGGGGGAGGGGGTGAAAATATTTTTGGAGGGGTGGACATTTTGTTTGGGGGGATTATAGCTAATATTGGGGGGGGGGTAGCACCCCCCTGCACCACCCCACAAAATCCGTCTATGTTTCAAAACCATCCTCAGAAATACCGTATTAAAAACTAGTTACATATTATTCTGAATTCTGACATTGCAGAGTACAACGAAATTCCGAAATTCATTGTCTCGAACGAGTTCGAATCCCGCTTGAGACAACAAACTTTTCGTTGTACTCTGCAGTGTGTTGCTGTACTGGTGATTACTATATTCAGCTAGCATATTAAAATGCAAGACAGGTCATTTTGTTAAAAATGTTAGTTATAAATTAAGCAACAAGCAAAACTTAATTTGTGTGTTCACAAATAATTTTCAAAAATAATTACTAGCAACAAGGCCACCAATGATCACAAAAAAAACCTGTTTAACCTTTATGTAAACGTTTCTCACATCTGCGCGTACCGAAGGAAGTCTAAGTAAAATCTAAACTGATTTAAATATTACTTACAATAGGAAACAATTGAACGAATAAGATCGAAAGGCCGAAATATATGTGTCGTGTTTTCATGTGAACTGTCAAAACATTCAGAAATGCGATTACATTCCTAGGCTACGCCTGTGCACCAATTACTGGCATTTTGACAAACTGCAAACCATTTTACTTTTAGGTGTAAAGTAAACATCCGGTTTGTAGTATTTAGCCGCCCTTAATATTAACCGTGATTGATTACAGCATAAATTGGGATTGTATGACTGCAACCTGACTACAAAACAAAAATCAAAGCCTCGTCAAAACAATATAAACAGCAGACAAACAAACTAAAAGCAAAAACAGCGCGTTCGGCTCTCTCATATTCATGTTCGTTATGTTTATGCAATATATTTTCAAAATTTTCACTTCGCATTTTCCCGTTTGCCACACAATTTCGCTTCGCAAAAATGTACAGATGCTTCGCAAATTGCGAAGTGCGAGCCGTTAATTCGTACCCTGACATCACGGCTACCAGCCGGCAATACGGCTATCAGCCAGGCATGTCTGTAGCATACTATTAATAGTATACTACAAAACATCACGGCTACCAGCCGGGGTTATTTAACTGTAATAAAATACTACAATGCAATAAGAGTGTCAGCCGAGCCTGTCGGTAGTATACTATGGTACTCTACAATACATCACGGCTACCAGCCAGCAATACGGCTATCAGCCGGGCATGTCTGTAGTATACTATAGTATACTACAAAACATCACGGCTACCAGCCGGGGTTACTGTATTTAACTGTAATAAAATACTACAATGCAATACAAGTGTCAGCCGAGCCTGTCGGTAGTATACTATACAGGGTGTATCAAAAAAAGCGCAACCTCGGAATTTCCCAAGAAATCCACATTGTTTAAAAGACAAAAGATTTTAGGCGCCTGGGAATTTAAAATAGCACAACTGTCAAAATTACTGCACACGCGAGTGCATAAAGCAAAATTTAATTATGCATTTATTTAATGCACAACTGACAACAGTAATATGATCTATTAACAATCTGATTTCAATTCCCAGGAGACCAAAATCTTTTATGCTTAAGAATTGCAAAGTGATTTCTTAAGAAATTCTGAGGTTGCGTTTTTTTTTATACACCCTGTAGTATACTACAATACATTGCGGCTACCAGCCGCAATACGGCTATCAGCCGGGCGTGTCTGTAGTATACTATAGTATACTACAGACACGCCCGGCTGATAGCCATATTGCCGGCTGGTACCCGCGATACTACAGTACACTATAGTATAGTATAGTATACTACAGTAGTATACTACAGTACACTATAGTATACTATCGTAATATACTACAGTACACTATAGTATAGTATACTACAAACACGCCCGGCTGAGAGCCGTATTTTGCCAGCTGGTAGCCGTGATGTATTGTAGCATACTATAGTATACTACCGCCAGGCTCAGCTGACACTCGTATTGCATTGTAGTATTGTATTACAGTTAAATAACCCCGGCTGGAAGCCGTGATCTATGCCGTAATGTATTGTAAGTATTGTATTAAAGTGTAGAAACGGCTCGGCTGCTACTGTACCCTTGGCCGTGTACGATGGTGTACGTATTTACGCAATCTTTAATTGCGCTGGCTAAGAATAACCTGTATATATACAACAAATTAACATATTTTCCGTGTAAGACGTGGTGGCGCAGGGGAACAACACTCAGCATGTATGATGAGGGTTGTGAGTTCAAGTCCGGAGTGCACGCAAACGAATTTGAATTTTTCTTTCTGCCGAAATTGTATTTTTCTCGTTTATTTACCTGTCGCATAGCTAACTATATGCATTGGGAAGATGAATTTAGATGCATTTCGATGATTTTCGGAAAATTTAATGTAATTTTGGTGGTTTTCTGCTTATGAAACATTCTAGAACCAGTCTCTGAAATGCGTGCATTTTTTGAACGAATAGTATACTATGGTACAGGCTGGCAGCCGAGCAATCGGAGACAAAAATTCCGGCTGTCAGCCGGCGTCAAACGCGCTAATCGGGTGGTATGCTTCGGGGTGGAATTGTTGCAATTGTTCTCATCTGACAAGTCATCAACTGAAGACCACATAATTATCATATTCTTTCAGGATATTTTCACAATACAATAGGATTGTGCAGAGATTATATATATAAATATATATATATATATATATATATATATATATATATATATATATATATATATATATATATATATATATATATATATATATATATATATATAAACATACTATACATATTTAAGACTATAAACTATAACTGTTTTAATAAATATATAGAAATGAAAGCAAGCAAAACTGCAAAAGCGTAGCCCAGAAGAAACGATCTCGATAACTTATCTCAGTTGACGCTCATTGTGATCATCAAATACATACCTTAACTTCGATTTCCTGTGGTCGACCGTCATCTTGAGACATTTTCAAGAATTAAAATAAAAAATTTCTTTCGATTTTAGCAACTTTTGCAAAGCATGTTTTTAAATTTTCGATTTACTTTTCCAACGTGAGCCTGCGTTTTCTGCGGTCTGTAGAGTTTCACACTTCATGTACGCTAATTTTAAGGTCTGAACTCTTGGTTATCACCACAGTGATTACATGGTTGACTTGTGGCAAGTCCACCATATCACCATGAGGGAGGGAGAGCACGGGGGGGGGGAGCGCGCCATAGAAGGGTCTGGAAAGGACTTTGGAAAGTCTATGTGGTCGTATTAAAAGTCACCCGAAATTTAACATTTTAGAACTGAAAATACGGCGGAGTGATTATAACTAGAGACTCTTATGATTTATATGCATGTCGGGTTCACAGGTATAAAATATTATAAACTGGCCGTTTAGAAAGACAGTTACTCTATTTTGACGACCATTACGACCACAGGCATATGGAAACCAAACTAACCAGTCCTAAAAAGTTAGGAAACTCGATGCAGATATAATAGATCTCATTATCTGTGTGTTCATATAAGTTTGATCCAAAATATGGTCGGTGTGCATAGTTTTTTCGCCCAACCAACAAATAGCAGTCTTTAATAAAAGTGACAATGCTGTTCCAACACCTTGTCATGAGAACAAGAACAAGATCAGTTTCGCAACAGGTTTGTAGCAAGCTTGTTAATAAGCTTGCTACAAGCCTGTTGAGGAGACATCTTGTTGGAACCAGCAGCATTGTCACGACTTGTTAACAGGTTGTGGCAATGCTGTTCCAACAACTTGTCAACAATATGTGTTCGCAACAGGTTTGTAACAAGCTTGTTAACAAGTTGTGACAGTGCTGTTCTAACAACTTGTCAACAAGATGTGTTTGCCGCAACAGGCTTGTAGCAAGCTTGTTAACAAGTTGTGAGAATGCTGTTCCAACAACTTGTCAACAAGATGTGTTTGTAATAGGTTTGTAGCAAGCTTGTTAACAAGTTGTGACAATGCTGTTCCAACAACTTGTCAACAAGATGTCTCCTGCACAGGCTTATAGCAAGCTTGTTAACAGAAGTTATGAGAATGTTGTTCCAATAACTTGTCAAAAAGATTTGTTTGTCGTAACAGGTTTGTGGCAATCTTGTTAACAAGTTGTGACAATGCTGTTCCAACAACTTGTCAACAAGATGTCTCTCCTGCTCCAACAGAAAGGTTTGTAGCAAGCTTGTTAAGGGGAGCTTCACCCCAATCGTACTTCAAAATGGACAAAACTTTAACAATTGTTAGGAGGCATATATTTAAGCAAAATATGTATAAACTATATATTTTTAGAAACTAGAGATCTTCAGCTATCAGCTGAGACAAAAAATTTTCCGGTTCGGTGTATCGGACTGAAATTTGACACCAAAGAAGCGAGTAGTATATGGAAAACTGGATTTTACAGGCCACTTTTGCCCCCCCATAAAATTTCACATAATATGTGATGTATCTAAGTGAAAATGCACGTTGTGGTAGCTAAGATATTGAACTATGCTCCTATGAGCCATTTTTTTGTAATTCACCATGGTTGCTATGGTAACGGATAAAACAGATTGCGTATACACTTTTCACTATAAATCCTGTTAGAAAATAAATATCAAAAAAATGGCTCATAGTTGCATTCTACATACCTTAAACTACATCTGTGCCAAAAATGGGAAATTTTCATTAAAACAGTAACAAGAAAAGCTAGGGGGGCAGTTGACGTGCGGCCAAATATCACATTTTGAGAAATAGACAGTTAAAGTTTAATTTCCGTTGGAACTTGTTGTTTGAGTGTTATAAGAGTGTTTGAGGCTCTATTCTTTTCTTGGCAGCTTGCTTTTGCCCTTTTTACCATTACTTTTCATTGTCGTCGTCTTTCTCTTAGTTGAACCACTCAAACAATCCTTGTTAAATGCCGCGCTCTCATATGTTACTCATTTCCGTGCCTTCGATCTTGCCTCTTCCGCCAATTTTGCCTGTTGAATTTTCTGTCTTGCTTCCTTGAACTTCATCTGGGCCCTTGCATTTGCTTGTTTTACTCTCTTGTCATTCTTTCTCCCACTTCCAGTTTTTGTATAAAAACCAGCATACATTTTCAGCTCTTTCATTACATCAAGTCGACCAGCCGCGCCAATGTTCAATATTTCTTCCAAGACTTTTCTTGTTGCTAGATTCACCGATTGATTGTGTTTTTGGTAAGCACTATCACTATAAACTGGTCACTATAAACTGGAGGGCCAATGTTCAAAATGTCACAAATAGTTGAAAGAATTTCCCAACCTAAGCCCAGCTCACCCATAGGAAAATTAGTTCTACATCAAAAGAACATGCCTTTCCCTCAACTGGCTTCTATGTATCCATGTCAATCCTCTGCACTCAAAATAATAATAAACTAAGTACTGCTCAGTCCAGCACGTTTTGCAGCATCTTCAGAAGTTATAATGTTTTCATTTTTGCACTTATGCATGTTCTCAACTGTTTTCCTAATGTTTTCAATACAAACAATCCGATATCCTTCTTGTCCCTGTGAAGTTTGCCTTGCAGTTTATAATATCCCTTCAATTTCAGGAGTAAATTTGAGGTGATTTTAAATTAGCTTTCTCCAGTTTCTTTGCCGATGTGACTTCTCATCAGTTTTATTCAATAAATCGTCATCATATTAGTCTTCATTTTACTCTTCTGATCCAGATCGGGTGTTAGATTTGAGAGCCATGAACTTTCCTTCAAAACATCGCCATCTTCGCAAAAATCAGAGAATCGTTTCCCTTTGAAACGGGCTTTTTCTTTGATTTGTTTCTCACACGAAAGTTTGTTCCTTCTTTGGAACCTTTTGGCATTATTACAAACCAAAAATGCAACAAAATATAGCGACAAAATAGAAAATTTAGCGGAATATATTCTCAAAGCCTCATGTAAATGAGTAAAATTATGTAAATAACAAAATTATGCAATTGTAGCGTGTCCCTATGTGCCTCTCATATCCATAATACACACCATTGGCATAGGTAGCCCTGTATAAATTTTTACATTGAAATCGCACAGTAAAACGACTTTTTTAGAGGATTTTTGAAGCTCGTTTCCATGGTAACCTGGTGTAAACATTCAATGAAATCTCACATCCTTTCTCTAAAGTCTATTTTTTTCCGTAAAAAGTATGGAAATTTAAATAAAGACTTCACTAGTTGATAAAATACATGTTTAGGTATCCTATCATGATGTTTTAGATATTTTGACATTTTCATCCTAATCGACTAAATTTTGAGGTGAAGCTCCCCCTTAACAAGTTCAGTGGTGTAACTTTACCTTTTTTGACCACTTGCCAAGGCAAGTTGGACATGAAAATTAGTTGCCCTGAATAAAATTTACTTGCCAACAGACATTGGCCACTGGGGTACGTAGGTAGAGGGTATAAATTAAGGGGACGACATGTCGACCCGTTCTTCCACTGCTCTATATGGCTATGTTATACTCCCTCAGATCTAGCTTTGGCCAACGAAAGACAAAATTTGAATCAAGTTCATGCACTATAAAAAATTGATATTCGACAATAAAAACATGAACTTAAAGATGCCCAGCTTTTTGTGGCAAGGCAACTTACCCAATCGGGCAGGCAAGAAAAACGTTTACTTGCCCGTCATGATATTCACTTGCCTCGGGCAAGCGGGCAAGTGTTAAGTTACACCCCTGGCAGTGTGTTGGTTCATTTACCCAGTGGTCCAGTCGTGATGTTACACAATGGTTAAATGAAAACATACTCTAGCTATTGGTTGCTCACTTGCTCTAGCGAAAATACAATACACACGTGACTATGAACCGACCGTTTCTTGCATAAACCTTCAAGACAAAAAAAAACATGTAGAGAATGAGGTCTACCGTATTATGTCTGCATTGCAAGCATAATAGACCTTATTATCAATACGTTTATGTCACTCTGCATCGAGTTTCCTGACTTTCCTATATTGACTATGAATAGACGCTATATTAAACGCTCTCTGTACATATCAGGGTACATGTTATAGGGAGGTACATTATCTATATTCAGGGTGTCCATCTTTTGGTGAACAGGTGAAATTCAAGGACTTTTCCAGGACTTTCAAGACCCTTTGTCAGTAAATTCAAGAACCTATAGAACTGCGAAAACTCGTTGAAAATAATTCACTTTAATCAGCAATTTTAATGAAAAGCACTAATGTTGGCACAGCTGGAGGTTAAGGAAATTAATTCCAGGATTTTCAAAGACTTCTACTGATTTTCAAGGACTTTCCAGTCCTGGAATTTTTTTCTCCAATTCAAGGACTTTCCAGGATTTTGAAGGCCCGTGGACACCCTGTATATTAGAGCAGTGTCTATATATATTAGACGACTAGTGCAGTGTTTTGTGGGATGACTGTAAACTGAGTTTCGACTCAGTGTAATTAGTAAAAACTATTCTCACTGTTTACTTGCTTTTCCAATGAATTATAAATGTTTCTTAATAACTAGTTTATATGTTAGATACGTTTATTCATTATGTACAGACGAAAGTATTTACAAAGCTTGAACATATGTATTTTAAAGTTAGCTTCTAAAGACGATCATAATTCCGATTAGTTTAAGCCAATTTCATCAATACCATCTGCTTCGCTCACCAACGCTCTCTCAAGAATGACTCTGCCTTCCTACATAACATACAATGGAAAAAATTGAATTCTCGAACAGCTAACTGTGATATTTTTGGATTTTGCTGCGCACAAATGAAGTATACTTTCTATGGGACTGCTTGCAATATTCAGGAACGTCCAGTCACTACATTACCTTGTATCGTTGTGATTCCTCAACGGCAAATTCCTTGAAAAAAGAAATTACAGGACTTAGTTATTGTATGTAGAGTTTACCACTTACAAAACACTATCTAGAATCACTAATCAGTACCAGATACAGTAGATGGGACGAACATTTTGAAGAAATGCTGAGAAAAACGAGTGGAAGAACATACATTTTACAAGTGTGCAAAACTGCAAATACTATAATGGCTTCTCAGCTATAAGCAATATTATTAAAACTTTTCTTTCAGATTTTTTTTCTGTGTTGGTGTTATGTACTCAGGTGAATATGATGTTTGTGATGTTACTCTGAGTGTGCATCCACACTGGACAAGCTTGAAAAATATGCCTGGCCACGGTGGAAATCGGACCTACGGACCTTTGGAATACTAGCCCAATGCTCTGCCAACTGAGCTACACGCGCGGTCAGGTCGGTTCGAGTATGTGATATTCGGAACTGAGTCCAGTTCCTTCGATATCAATGCAATCATCTAGTAATCATAATTTTTTTCTGTGTTGGTGTTACTAGATTGCTTCACCCCTCCTATTTTGACTGGAAAATAGGCTCAGATTCCAGCTGTTGGATTCTTCTAACCAAAAACTCTGAAACCCACTCGACCTGGAAATTCAATCTGTGCACAATTTCGACACTCTGTGTTAGTGGCTAAACTATGGATGAAATATGTTGTGTAAAGTATGATGCTTTCGGACACTTACATACATCCAACCAAGTTTTGCATCGCATTTTTTACATGAAACATCTCGAACCATATGCCTTCCTGTTAACTGTTAAAATATAAAAGAATTAAAGATTTGATTATTCAGCATTAAATCAGCAACGATTAATAATTTAATTAACAATGAATGATTCCACCTATAGATGAAATTCTGATCTAAACAAGAAGAAAAAAATCGATTACCATAGCTGGGAAGAGAATCAAAATTGCAAAGTTTTTAGCCCTGTGAAGTTTGCAAATTTTGTATATACTTGCGTTGCGTGCGGGAAAAATAACCATTTTTTAGCCGAAAGTGGTTATTTTTACCGCATGTGATACTGCTCGTAATTTTCTGCCCCTGCAATTTGAATGTTGTTAACCCATTGAGTACCGGCGCTCTTGCCTGCAGTTACGAGTAAAATTGTCTGGTAATAGACAGAGTAAAATGTTATTAAAGCAGGGCATGTAAGGGCACAATGAAACTTATTTCCAGCAAAAAAGTAAAATACGAAGCAATATCTCAAATTCATCAGTTCTGTAAATTAATTAAATTTTCATGTTCCCCAAAGTTCATGAGATTGCATTTCAGAGACTCTAAATTACAAAATGTTTCGGCAGAAATCCCCCATATCCCATAGAGAGCTTGAATACTGTAATTCAACACTCGAAACTCATGCCACTGGTTCTTGCCCGGAAGGCGCCCCTAAAAACAGTAACATCATACATACCATAACTCTGTCTTGAACTTCACTGAATGTAATGTTGACACTTAGAAAATATAATTACAAAAATTTAATATTAGTCAATTATTGTTTCCTTTTGTGTGTGTCGTGGGTTCAATTCCCACCGTGGTCAGGCAAACTTTTCAGCTTGCCCACAGTGCGGATGCACACTCAGAGTAACATCACAAACATCATAATTATTGTTATTGTTTATTTTAAAAAAATCATGATTTCTGACTGGCTAGCAGCCAACTACGAAAATCATCATATCAACTCGCCAGCTGACAAAATAAGATAGAGTTTCGACATAATATTCAACAGAGTCATGTGATATAATTACAAATATAAAATGTTTCTTGTGTTAATATACAGCTATAATGGAGACGTGGAGACGCGGAGGAAGGGTGGAGTGTTTTCACACAATTTTCCGTGTCCCAACTTCCACGAGTGTTGATATAACTGCATATCAATACGGAAAAAAACCCGAACTTTTATTGAAGTTTTATGTTTTCGTAGTATAAATTTCTAGTAGTAATTTATGTGTGGGGTTTGCCTTGTTGGGACTTCGAGTCTGTTTGCCGATCCCATATCTAACTTGCCTTTGTTTGTTGTATAATGTCTTTTGTTCTGTTCTCACATAGCATTATCAGAGGGTCTAGATGGGGGGCCGGGTCTGAAAATCAGTATTTTAATGCTAAAATTTTGGTGTTTTAAAGGTAAATCTTTGAGAAGTGTTCTGAAACAATAAACACTATTTTTTTCCCTCGCGCTTCACAACAGTTCACGGTAAATTTAAAATTAGTGTTTTCATGACTTATGGTAACCAAAATCGAGTGAATCACGACTCACTATATACCCCATCAACACCCTCATGTAAATTTTCTAGTGAGTTTGATTAAAGCTTATTATCATTATGAAGAAAGAAATTTTCCGTGTCCAATCAGCGTTCAGAATTCACAAATGCTATGTTATAAAAACAAGTATTAAGGGGCCATGCATGTCCATATTCACGTTGCCACAAATAATGTTGAATCAACATTATTACTTCAATGACCCACCCTCTCCAGATAACGTTGATCAACATTCAGCCGTATTTTGACTTTTGCATTTATGATACAAAATCTGTACTGTGATAGTTACTTTCGACATTACGGTTGATTTCACATAACTTTTCCGTGAATGTTGTGAAGTTCAAACGTTCATACTGAAATTCACAAGCCGGTTTGTAAACAAAGCCTCTGATTGGTCCCCAAACAAAAATAAACCAATCAGAGGCTTTGTTTACAAACCGGCTTGTGAATTTCAGTATAAACTTTCGAATTTCACAACGAAGTTCGGAACGAGTTTGCAACATTCGCGGAAAGGTCATGTGAAATCAATTGTCAAATTGCCATGAGATAATGTCAATAAGTTGACTACATAAAACCACCCAACCACTATTCGTCGACGTTATTTGTGGCAACATGAATATGGATGTAGCCCCTAAACACTATAGCAATCGGCCTCTTTTGTGATCAGCTCATTTCCAAATATACTGCCTCAATCATCCATGAATATATAAATTATAATTATATAAATAATAACTTAATTCTATAAATAATATAATCCTAGCTGACCTTTAATATGTTTGCAAAATTAGTTTCAAAATCTAACTGAGAAATTTATATACATACACTTTATTAAAAAGAAATGCTCTTCCAGTAGCACCAGTGAACCTCTAAATTAGCAGGGAAAAAAAAACAAAAAATAAAGCTGAATCTATTGTAATATACCGAAACAAATTAAAACGACATAAATTCATACCATTGAAATCAGTTGAGATTTATTCGTCAAAACAGTATCGCATTTCGCACAAGAATAGAGTCTTGCCCCGCCAGGATGTTGTAAAAATGTTTTGCCCATTATAAACAAAGAGAAATCGTTGAAATAGTTGTATTTTTTTAAATATATTTTTAATTTCTCTTTTCACCTTGAATCCTTCTGTTATTAAAAACGTATCGTGTTTACCTCACACTACAATTACTTCATGTAATATCGCTATATGTCGTATCAACTGATCTCATCAACAAAACTGGGTGGCAGAAACCATGATCTCGCTCAAGGATCTCGCTTTAATATTATCCTTAAAAAGTATATCAGATTTCACGATACTTTTTAGCCACAGACTGCCGTGGCTAAAAAATACACTGAAATCTGGTATAGGTTTTAGCCACAGACCTCCGTGGCTAAAAGCAGGGACGCCGGAACGAT